TCCTTTAGGTTTGCTACCTTTTCACTAATACCTCCTTCACAAAAAATCATTAGGTCATCTGCAAACTGAAGGTGGGTGACAGGGACTTGGTGTCTCCCTATTCTCCAACCCCTAATGGCATCTTCGCTGTCAGCCTTAGTAATGATCCTGCTATCTTTAACATACAAGACTTCAATGATATTCCTAATCCATAGCAGATGAAAGTGCCTTTATTGATAATAAAAGCAAATAATGTACAATAGTAAAATACACTCCAATGGAGAGTGAAGAATAGACCCAGCCAGCCATAGTCACATACAACTCCTATAATAGCCTACCCATGTGGGAAAGATTACCAGTACAAACAGCCTCTTAACCATTTTACCTGACTGACTTCAAGCATATTAGTAGGTCTAGTTTTGACATCAAGTGGGGAGAGATAGTGAGATATTGAATGTAATTTTATTTATATAATTGTTTTGTTTGTTTGCTTTTTCCAATTCAATATAAAAGGGATAAAGTGATTATAGGAGGTTGTCTCGCTCTCCACAACTATAGTAGCTTCCATATATGGGAGACCATTTACTATTGGCTCATTTGTAAAACCACTCTATGAAGTCCAATATACAAGACACTAGAAGGAATATTCCAAGGCATAATCCAAAGAGATAAGGTTGGTGTTGGGGTCATGGCTGAGCTGGCCTTGAGAGACACGTGGCCGCCCAGTCATCGCCCAGCCACGATGGCACAACCCAAAATGGCATAGCCCGGCCATGTCAGGATAGCTCAGCCACGTCGGCTCAGCTCAACCGAGCTATGTTATTACCGTGGCCCCCTGTCTCATCCCTCCAACCATGTCAGCCACACGTCCCATGGATAAGCTCAATCGCGGATAAGGGAGGTGGGAAGACAACTCCGCCGAGGAGTATGACTCTACCCTGGTAACCTCGACGGAGAGCTCCATCCCTATCTCCCCGGTAGCATAATCCAACCAGGAGACGAAACCCCGGCTATAAAAGGGTGCCCCATGCTCGAGGTAAGGTAAGGGATTGGACCCAGCTTCTAGCACCCACACCGTTACTTTGCTCGGACCAGCACCCTCATTGCTTGACCCGACCATTCACCGCCCTCTCACTGACTTGAGCGTTGGAGTACTTACCCGGGGATAACTCCTCGGGCCTCTGACTTCTTCTCTTGATCGCAAATTACATAGCGCGGCACCGTCCTTGTAAGTTCGGCACCGCCCAGTCAGCAAGGATTATCTGGTTGCTCTCCTCAGTTCGTGCACTACCTCGGATTGAGCAACATCAGTTGGTATTTTTGTTCTTCAAGATTTTCTATAGAAGGCATTGTACCTCTTTGTTTTCCTTTTAGAGTGACTAAGTATTTTGAAATTTGAGCTCTGCAACTTTGTTGTGGTTGAGAAGTGACAATATTCTCTTTGATAGTGGGACTTCATCATCCCCACATTCATCTCTTCCCACCATCTTCTCATTTGTCCATGAAGCCTTCTTCCAACCACAAGTTTTCAAATATGAAGAGGGATGGCTTATATTGAATTCCAATCCAACTAGACAAATAGGTGTGTGGTCAGATCAGATAAA